TTGACTCAACCAGCCTTCCTAGGTCTTTACAAAAACAAAACAAAACAAAACAAGTATTCACATGAGTAATAGATATTCATAACAAATGCTTAGGTAGCCTAGGAATGAGAGGCAAGAGCCACAGAATTTCAAGAGAACTTTGTGTTGATTAGATCAAAATATATGTTTTCTAAGAGCTGAAGTAACAAAATCTCTTAAAAGTTTACCAGAGTTGTGAGTTTGCTGTTGTTTAACCCTGGCAGGCAGCTAAGTACCACGTATCCACTTGCTCACTCTCCGCAGGTGGGATGGAGGAGACAGAAAGGTAAGTGTGAGAACTTGTAGGTTGAGATAAATGACAGTTTACTTGGTAAAGCAAAAGCTGACAACAACATGACAGAGTTCTTCATCAACAGATTTTTCAAATTAAAGTAAGCTACGTTTCTAAAAGATAAATCCTTTTTTGAGTGTGAATTAATTTAGAGAGCACTATCGTCTGTACTGTACAGGTCAAGCTATATCATTGCAATGGTCCCTTCTGACCTTACGAATTATAAATGATTTAGTGACCAAAATACTATCTTAAAAAATTAAAAATACTCTCTCTAAAAGCATAGATTTCAATACCAGAAGGATTCAGTCAGTCCTTTATCATTCAGATGTAGATAAATTGAGTCCTTGCACTTTTCTCTCTATCTCTTTCTCGTAAAATCTAAGTCTTGTCTGTTCTACATAGATATTCATGACATTTTCTCACAAGAGCTGTGATTTACTCCAATGTCTTCAGCCAAAAATATTTCTTCTCCCCTCTGTTTTATGTTATGCGCTTGCTTAAAGTTAAGTGGAAATAAGAAGGATAGGAGTGGGAAAATAAAAACAGAAACAGGCATATCCATATCACCAAACAATACAATTTCGATTTACTTTTAAAAAATTAAATGAACATATAAAATATAGTTTTGTTGAAAAAATCCTGAAAATGTAAAAATTAGAAATGTGGGCTCTACTAATAAGAGCATATTTAACATCTAAAAACAAAACAGCACACAAACAAACATAAAAAGTTGTTTATAAACTGATAATTTCTGTGAAAATATGGAAAAAGCCACAAGAAATGGAAAAATGGGAATCATACGTTACATGAAAGCTTTTCAAGTTCAAATGAATTCATGTAGCTCATGATACATCCATTCACCAATAATGGCTTAACAAAGCTGTTTATTGAGCCTGCTGTATATGCAATATATGTCCCTAGATATTTTGGACACTTACCCTTCATAAATAAGTAAAAATTTATATAGATTTATATTTTAAATAAAATATACTAACACCCTTCTAAGAAAATTTCTCTAAATTGTCTCTAAATTTTCTCTGAAACAGACTATGTCGTATAGTAGTGAATACTACAATCCAAGAAAATATATGTCCCAAAATAAGATGACATTTGAAAAAGAAATATGGATGAGTTACATAGACTATTTGTCCGGTTTCTAATTTTCTAGGGGAAAAATTATCAAAGTATCAATGTTTCCATTGGTAATACGAAGATGTTAATTCCAAAGAAACTGACAAAAAAAAATCTGTAGCCTATTGATCATGAAGATAGACTTAAAAAAAAAAAATAAATTAAAAGTAAACATTAAGGATTGATTGTTTTTAAATAAACTCACTGCCTAATAAATAAATAGATTAATAGAAAAGTTAAGAAGAATGACAAAGTATTTATTTTAAAGAAAACATAAGCACTGCAGATGAAATCGAAGCAATTAGCTGAAAATAAATTCCATTGTCCTCTAGGTATAGGGCTAAGTTATAGGTCAGCAATATAGTCTTGTAAATAAAATTTTAAATGCACAATAAAAATAATCCTTTCAGAAAGTAGGCTAGAAGACCTTTATTTAGGCCATAATTAAAATCTGATACTACAGCAAAAAAATCTGGATTCAGCACAATGACCTGAAAATCGCTCCTGTCTCCATGTAGTAGATCTATTGTGTCCCATGAGAAAGTCTGAGGATGGGGCAGCTGAGATTTCTGTCTCTCTCCCACTCTTGTGTATCCCAGTGCATGCAGGGGTCATCTAGCGGTTAGTGAATTCCTTAGGAGCTGAAATGGTGAGAATCACTGCTAGATGACCTCTTCCTGGTTGTCCTGCACAGTCCTCACCCTGAGCATGGCTTTTGCTCTTTCGTGCCGAATGAGCCTTCAGAAATATTCTCATTCAAATGCCACCAGATTTCTTACAGTGGACTTTCTGCAGCTGAAATTTCCATTGGACTCAGTTTTGTCCATAACTTTTCACATGAGAATTATTTATAGATTGTTTAGGAAGTATTATGGGAGCTGGTATCCTGCAAGTACAAGATTTGTGTTCTGGAAATGTTTGCCATCTCTTGGTACTAAATATGTCAAAGTGGACTGCACAATATCTGGGACTTTCACATGATTAGACAGGACTTTCTCCTGCAGAAAGTAGCCTCATAATCTAAAGATAATTGGAAATTTATTGTAGAAATTTTGGTGAAATTATTTTAAAGTACTTTCCTTTTTCTGTGCAGCTCACAGTTCATTTACAGTGTTTGCAGAAATGATTCACCTTACGGAACATTTTTTTTTTTAAGTTAAATTTATTACTTTTATTATTTGTACATTGTCAGCTCCATGCCACATAAGCAGCATTATTCCACCTTTGGCAACGTGTAGTTCCACAGTCATTTTTAAAGGTTAATATTTTTTTTTTACATGATAATATGTACAACTGAATATTTAAACTTTAAAAGTTTAGACTGAAGGGGAGATATAGTGAGGCCTGGAAAGGAGCATGGTTTGATTCCACATGTCAATATATTAACCTACACAAACTTCTTTCAGTAAAAATTGCAGGACATAGCGATTGTGGTAAACAAAATGCATATTTTAAACCTTATAGCACTTTCATAAGAATGCCATTGTTTTAAATAAAAGCTCTTTGATCTTTTTATGGGAGGAGAGAAAAGCAAACAAAATAGATACTTTTCCAAAGTTTCCAAACTTTTCCTTTACATATTTCTATTCTGTCTGCTATGTTACCTGGGCAATGTAAAGATAAATAAATAAACAGATATATACATGGACAGAGAGAAAAGGGGGCTCATTATCCCATTTTTGACTACATTTAAGAATATTCACCAATAAGCAGAATATTCACCAATAAGCAGAACTTTCTATGTCTCTCTTCCAGGCTTTTTTCACACACTGTTACTTCCATTTGGAACTTGCCTGCTGTTGCTAGATCATCATTAACACATAGGGGACAGAGCACTCTATATATATATTTAAGAAGGAGAGTTAAGAAGCTTGCAGGGATGGGGAGAACAACATTTACTAAGAAGATGATGAAAATCTGTCCTGCAAAAATCTCAACTGGAAAAAGGGCACTTGTTCAGGCTCCTGGTACCCTAAATTAGAAAAGCCCTTTTGAAGTCTGAGGAATTAGGAATTTGGGGCTATGTTGACCTGAAAAGACCTTTTCCTACTACTTTGAATATCCTGTTCACTTCAGGAAAAGCAACTACCCCCATGCTCCATTCAAGTATGTGAAGTATAATAAATTGGAATAGGCTCAAATTAAGAGCAGCTGAAAAATATAGACCAAGATGACAGGATTTTCTTCATCAGCTTTTTGATGTTTTTGAGACATTTTCAAGATGCATTATCTTAGTCATGAATTCCTGATCCCCTCCACTATGATGACAAAGTTCAACTTTGAGTCATTTTAGGATATAATTGCCACAAAGGGAATGCAGACTGGGAGAGCTGGACTGGGTATTTATCATTGTCCAACCTACTGCATCTCAAAAACTGCTAATTTTGACCAACTGGTATGCGTCCTGGCCAGAGGACTCCTTTTTTACACATACCACCCTAGACATTAGCAGAAGCTTCTCAAGGTTTTAAATGGAAAACCTAGACACTGAAGTCATTTATTTTAGGAAATGCAGATAATAACCAGCCATAGCATCTTTTCCAAGAAGAACCTTGTTTCTTTAAATCTCAAGCTTGTTATTAATAACATGGTGCTAATTAACCAGTTCTAAAATGCACACACAAAAAAGGTCAGTTTATGAAATAACTCATGAAATATAATCAGAATGATAGGAAATATGGCAGCTGGGCATTCTGCATGGTGATGCCAAGTTACATTACACATGTACGTTTGCTTCCTCAGTGGCAACTCAATTCAAGGCTTCAGAAGTTCCAGGTGTTTTCATAAAAGTCAGGCTGTGACAGGTGAACATATTTCAGAGAGAAAGAAAGATAGCAATGGGAAAATAACATTTTTCCCTGCCATTATTGTAAATTATTTACCATGGATTTCTTGCCTAGAATTTCACATATATTAAACAGAAAAGCATCTTTCCAACATTACCTAGGTAATCCATTTGTATAGTGATCTGCTGTGCCCCAGTGAAATGCCTAAATATACTCAGAGTTATTTGTTTAGTTGCTAGAAAAATACGTGTGCCAATAAATGCTGGCTTTCAGCTTAGTCTGATGAACACAGACCAATATCACTGTAACTTGCAGTCTGCTGCTTGCTGAAGCTGAACCCAAGTTTCTTGCAGCTGAGTTAGTTAAGTCAAGTGTAATGTTCTACTCTGTCATTTTTGGCTGCAGTTTTCTGCAGTTGAATATAAAAAAATATTATTTAAAAAAAAAATAAAAAAATCACTGATAAGTATCTTTAGCTAAACCTCATAGGTAATTAACAAATGAGCTGTAAACCAGTTCCTGGCTTTCCTTGATACTAGCTATCTTGTTAGCCAACGAGTTTACAACAAGTGAAGCCCAATCATAGGCAGCACATACTTGCAGCTGTTAAAATGACAGCAATGCTAAGGTAGTGGCTATTTCTTATGAATATGCACACGCTCAGAAATACTTTGCTGTTGTTTTTTTTTTCCTAACCCAAATGTTTATTTGCTGTTATTATACTTTTGAACTGCAAATACTCCCTAAGGCATGGAGAGAAGCAGCAGTACCTTGGTTGATTATTTGCCCCAAATACATCTGTTGTTGAGCAGCAAATTCTGAACTTGACTAGCACTTGCCTCCCCTTCTGCCTCCATACACCAGATGCAGCCTTCTCAGATGTGCTGAGTTTCTGTAGAAAACACACATACACACTGCAAAGACAAAATACTTCAGAAGATAAAACAAAGAGCTTCAATGAGATCAAGTTCAGTAACTCAGTTGTTGCCAACACAGGTGTAAAACCCACTTGAGTTACAACCAGCACTTAAAGGATGCAGCCCAACAAGAATGCACTGGCTAGATGGGTTACCACCAACCCGTAATCCATGTTTTACTGTAACCAGTACTCATTCACAGATAATCTTTTGAGGTAAAGGTGAGAATATGCTTTCACAAGCTCTCTTGGGGCTTGAATTTGATTTGAGTAAGACAAAGGAGAAAACTGAACTTTCTGCATCTCCACAAGGAGGAAAGAATCTTCCTTTTTAGAGTCTCCATTTGCACTCCAAATGTTCAAGAAATGAGAGAGGCTGACAAGGAATGGAGCTGTTTCACCAAGAAAAATATGGTAGCAATTTTCAAAAAAGGTGAAAGGTTTCTGTGATGTTAGTGGAGTGTGTTCTTCTTGATACTCACTAGGAGAATAAGAGAAAACTAAGCTGTAGGAAAGAAAATTTAGGTTAGGAGTTGGGGAAAACTTCTGAATTGTGAGGATAGTTACCAACTGAAATAATATGCCAAGGAAGTTAGGAAATCTCTATTACTGCAGGCATTTAAAAAGAATTAAACAAACATCTGTCAAGACTGACATAGGTATTGTTGATCTTACCTTGAGGCAGGGATGCATTAGATGACCTCTCAGGTCTCTTTTGCCCTGTCTTCTCTGATTGCTGATTCATGTCTTTCTTTTCTACCTCCCTTGATGTACTTTACTTATGCTACCAGACAGGAATGTTCAGTAATCAATTCTATCCCTACAGTTAATGCTTTTTCTTTGTACAGACGGTTGGCTTGAGGAGTCAGTTTCAGCCATAATCAAAACGATTCCTTAATAAAAACACCCAACATATGTGAATCACTCTTCACTTACTACTGTAAAGTTGATTTTTAGCATAGACTGAAGCCACAAATAAGACTTTTAAAAATAATAATACATAGAATAACTTATAACACCATTTATGAAACCACTTCTGTCCTTCAAAAATCTTCACAACATTTTCAAAAGAAACAGCTACAGGTGCTGTTCTTTAAAGATACCTAGTTTCTTTTTCTCATTATTGTGTCATACAAAAATAAAAGAAGTAACTAGGATATCACAGTTAAACTTAATTTTAATTATTTATACAAATATATTTTACAGTTGTATTTAGAGCAGATATTTTTTTCAGGTGTTTTCTGCTCTTTGCTGTTCTAGCTTTCCTGTCTTCAAAATCACTGAATAGCTCCTAGCAATGTTTATATTGTAGCAGGGACATAATGATTCCATATACAATATTTTGCAGTGTTTTCTTCAAGGTTTGAATAACTTTCCTACAGGTGGATAAAACATTCTTTATTAGGCATTCATGATACTAAAAATAAACTTATGTTGTAGAGAAAGGCCTTAGAAAGTTCAATTTTCATTTAGGAAAGCCAAGAGACCTGAAAAAATATTTTTATAGATCATATAACATTAATTTCAATTAAGTCATTTGCCCCAAGAAAGAATATACCTATCTAAATGGGGTTCAGGAGTTCCTAGATAAATATGAAGGATTAGTTCCTTTCTTGCTTGCATTTTTCTATATTTTCTCTCTTTTTGGAAAGCATTTCTGTTTCCCTGCTGGGCTCAAACAACACATGAAGGATTTGTTTCCGTTACCATCCAATGTCTACACAGAGGGAAGAACAGAGACATTATCAGTATTTGCTTTTATCTTGCTGCCCTTTTTGTTCTAGACACATTTTTGCCAAGTTAATAACTCAATAATGGTAACTGGTAACTCGATAATAATTACATTTGATAGTGTATTATATAGTAGGTTTTCATTTGTCAATCTTAAAACGCTTCTCCAAGGAAGCTAAGTATTGCACTGTGTGATCATACCAAGATACAGACTCATGATGTAACTTGCTCAAGGGCAGACAGCAGGCCAGTGTCACAATTGGGAGTATAGTTGGCATTTTCATGATCTTTAGTGCAGTGGGCTTTTTGCTTCATCATAAAAGCAACCACATTGCACAGTTTGGCTACAACTTCCCTATTTATGTTTTTTTTGTTGCTGTTGTTTTTTCTTCTGTGTTTTTGTTTTTGTTTTCAGTATAAAAATGGCTACCCAATAGCAGTCATTAGCAACGTGTGATATTAGCAATACATTAACAATAAAATTAGCAAGGATATTAGCAATGTATGGTCTGGAATAAGATTCTACAATGAGAAAAAATGAAAATCAGAGTAGGTCACAAAGATCACTTCCAAAATAGGTGAATTCCAACTATGCTTGGGTGTAACAAAAGTATCCTTATTATACGTGTCCTTACCATAGACTATTTATATGCAAAATACCTACCTTTTATCAGGTTGCTATACTATTACTCACTGGGAAGGAAGCCTATGTAAAGGACTCTTATGGGTATTTTACTTTCTATACTTACACCAAATGTACTGCCTATTTGCCTGAATAATAATAGGCTGCTGTAACACTAATAACACATACAGATATCAAACTGGTATGAAAGACACATGTACACACACCCTTTCATAATACTGTACTTAAAAATGCATTACATTGTAAAAATTTTTGGAAAGCAATCATGTAGTCACATCAGACAACTTTTGCACTAAGACACATACTAAAGATATGCCAAATTTAGGAGATGATATCTGGACACCATATAAATCAAAGCAAGAGGACTCCTATTAATTTTCATGGGATACAGAATGTAGTCTAATCTATAAATTAGCTTAAATGAATTAATTGACTACATTCTATTTATACCCAATTTTACTTTGCTATGTAAACTTTAACAAAAAATCTCATTCCATAAAAACATTCTAGCAATTTGATCCTTCGTAATATTAGCATACTTTTAAAATGCAAAATCAGAGCTAAATGTTTTAAACGCCAGCTCTTTAGTGCTGCACTTCAAATAAAATCACTGGTTTAGTTGCTGAACTAGAGTTTAGAAACATATTTTGTAGAATATTGCACAAAGGCAAAAATAAGTAGTTAATGAACAGCTCTATATAATTCTCTGTAAAATATTAGCATTTCAGGCAGCATCCAAATGTGTGTTCCCTTTGTAGAGCAGATATGTTGCTGAGATATTCACAGCTACTTAAGTAATCTCATATTCAAACTATAACACAAGACAGTGTTTAATGTTCCAGAGCTTCGAATGATGGAAGAGAGGGGTCTTGAACTAGATGTGCTGACTGGAAAATAGCATCAAATGAGTTGTGAGAAATCCAGTGCAGACTATTTCAACTGCATCTTGAAGGACTTCCTCTAAAAATTAGCTCCAAATATAAGCAACATTAGAGACAGGAAAAACCATTCAAACTTGAATGCTGATTCTGTAATTCAACATACACTTAAAATGTGAGAATTGGATAGTTAATTACTGCAAAAGATTTATGGAAGTCATTGGAAGTCCAAGACCGCTGTCAGGATGGTTCATGCAGGTGGAGGGGCTGAGTCTCAGAACCCATCTTGGCATGACTGATCCTAGCTCAAAATGTCTTAGCAGGACATCGTGGGATCTGATGAGCCATGGAAATCAGCATCATGGCCACACAGCTCCAGCATGCACAAGTTTCCTCACTATTCACATGGTTCTTAGTGCAATTGCTGCAATACACATTTTATTCATTAAAATATTTTGATTTTGTCTCTGAGACACACAGCCATGACCTGTCAGTTAGCATCAGTTTAGGCAAATGGTTCTGTTTTGCTACATGGGCCAAATTCTCTCATCATACCTGCTGCAACTAGATCATATACTTGGAAACCACATTTATTAATATCAAGCATACTAGTACACTAATAGAAGTACCTCTGAAATCAGCACTGAACTGAATGATTTGTGAAAAGAGGAAATTAAAGTGAAAGCTTTAGGTCCAAGTTATTTTGGGTCAGAAGTTCGTAGCTGCCTTATTCTGTCAAATCAGGATCAGCATTCAGGAATGAAAGACATGACTTGAATGCAAGTCGTAAACATGAGCTGTCCCATTGGACTTCTGTTCTAGATGACTGAAATGCTGCTAGTACCTGAGAGAGAGGTCTGGATTTGGGAAGGAAAGAAGCCAGTAGACTAGGAAGAAAGGTCACCATGAAGAAGTGTACTTTATAGTTTACTACAGGCTTTATAGTATCTTAGGGGACTTTCCCTCCTTAACAAAGAAAATACTGGGTGGTCGTGGACATTCAATCTAGCAGGAATTTAGGCTAGCCCATAATTAATGAGAGATAAGGAATCTGAGCTATTCCAGGAGTGTGTGGATTTACTTAAAAATAGACATAGTCTAGAGAAGGACAACATCCCACCAAAGTGTATGTATATATTGCTTATAGACCTTCATTCCCAGACACGTGGTAAGAGCTGTACACCAAGTATGCCACTCCTTCATAGTCTGAACCAATACATCCACTGAAGAAAAGTCATGCTCACAGGAAATGTGTGTGTGTATAAACACACACTTGATGTTTTCCTCAATTCTCATCATATGTTTCATTCAATAGACTTATTAATCAACCATAAGAAATGAGTTAAGATGTTGAAACAGTCACGGCCTTTGTTCTATGTCAGTTTTGTTGGCTTAGCTGACATATAGCTACAAGGCATGACGGATCAAAGTAATTAAAGTTCCAATCATTTACCTTTCTACATTCAGTGTCAAGACAGCTAGCCTTCACCCTGTGTTCAGAGCATTTTCATATTTTTTTTTAACATGCTATAGCTGCACCATTTGCCTTGCTGTACTTAAGAATTTGACAGCATTTCCATTATAAAGTTTGTATACGAAGGCTTGAGATTCCCTCCGGATTCAAACTTTGCACATAAACTCACAGACCACAGGCAATCCAAAACCAAGCAACTACTCTTTATTTTCCTTTTGTTCATTTACTTTAGGGTAATTTAGTTAGCTTTTATTCACAAGAGAACAAAAAGTTGCCAATTCTGTTTCTTTTAATTTCAAGGTACATTTTTTGTGTTTTGTGATACACAAATGAAACTTATTAGGCTTGAATATTACTCTTCCATCATACATGTTATTTATAACTAAGAGTATGAAAACATTTGGTCTAAAAAATAACTTTTGAGGTATGTAGCAAGGAGTGATTTGGGGGTATTTCAAGAACAGGAATTTGGTGTGTTTTTGAATCCAAACATTAATTAAAACAGTAAATTCAGATTTCCACAAATTAAAGAAAAACAATATGAAACCAAACAACAGCAACAACAAAAATAGAAGTCATAGAATGGCTGAGGTTGGAAGGCACCTTAAAGATCATCTAGTTCCAACCTGTTGTTATGGGCAGGGATGTCACCCAGGTTGCCCAAGGCCTCATCCAACCTGGCCTTGAATACTTACAGGGCAGGAGCATCCACAACTTCTCTGGGCAACCTGTTCCACTGCCTCCACTCAGCTTGGTGTCATCTGAAAACTTGCTGAAGGTGCACTTGATCCCACTGTTTATGTTATTGATAAAGATATTAAACAGTACATGTTCCAGGACAGACCCCTGAGGGACACCACTCATCACTGCCCTCCACCGTGACATAGAGCCATTGACCATCACTCTTTGGGTGCAACCTTCAAGCCAATTACTTAACCACTGAATGGTCCACCCATCAAATCCATATCTTTCCAATCTGGAGATCTGGATGTCATGTGGGACCATGTCAAAGGCCTTACAGAATTTCAGGTAGATGACATCAGTCAGTCTCCCCTTGTCAACTGATGCAGTTGACAAAATGCATCTTTGTTAAGTGAAACATAATTTGAATCTTGGCAACAGTATTCACTAACTAAATAGAAGAAAGCACATTAGAAAAATGCAGAAAAGCAATATCAGGAATTAAATAACTCACAATCAGTGAAAATGACTGTCTCCTGGAGTCTTGCCATCTCTTTACCTTCTTCTCTTCCCTCACAGCTTGCCTGTTGCCTAAAAAGGCTGGCTGGATCTATCAGGCTGTGGAGTGGGAAGTCATCTTCTACTTCTCATCATGGTTTGTATAGGACCTCATATGGGACTGGCACAAGGCATATGACATTTATTTAAGGACCCTTTGCACATCAACATATACTATGAGTTAATAGTCTCCCATGCCCCCAGGTCTTATCTACTGCACATAATTCAACTTAATAAAAAGAAAATAAAATCTGCCTAGTTTTTCTGTGAAGCTGTAGTATAGGATACCTTCATAAGCTTTGCTTTCACAACAGGTATACATGTACAAAATCTGATGGGTTTATTATACTTTAGAAATTGATCATGGAGTTGTAGATTGCCCATATTTTGACACAGCAGTCTGAGAAGTTTGGGAAAAATAAACAAAAATAAAACACCTTTATACAGAAGCAGACTTCCACTCAACCTGTTTTACCATCATATAGCCTACAGAACTCCATAACATTCACAGACTGTTCCAATCATGTATCAGACCTTCAGAAGGACAAGAAGATTAGATAGCTTCAGGGATGTTACTGCAATTCCTACCAAAATATTCCGTCTCTCATTGGAAGGAGTTGAGGAAACAGTGGCAAGGAGAGACAGAGGATACATAAGCTTTCTCCTTCCATATTATTTGCACTGTTTGTAAAAATCATTCACGAACAAAAAAGGAGGATAATTTAAAATGAATGTCATTTATAATGAATACCTCCACCAGCATTTTTATAAATAAAACAAGGAGCAATTATTTTTCTGCTATGTATTTACAAGAAACGGGCAAAGCATTGTACAATTTAAAAAAATAATAATAATAAAAAAGAAAACAGAAGGACATCTCATTCCTCAGAAGTTTAGGACTGACAAATCACGAAACATTACCTACCTTGTCAGAGTCATTACAGGTCTATCTTGTGTCAAACTCAGTCAACATACGTTTTACTATTTACCTTGATTAGGGTGATATCAAGCCCAAATTCCTGTCATTCCTCCCATTGTCATCTCACTTTTCTCCCTTCAATGACTTTTTAAAGTTCCCAAAGCATGAAATATCACTTTGATGCTGCATCACATCCACTTAGAAAGCTCTGGCATGTAGTGTTATGTTTAAACCAACATGCAAATGTAATCAGGAATGACACGTCGTCCCAATAATGCAGTCACTCAGCTTTGAGAAACTCAAAGAGACAGATTATAAAACAGAGATTGTCACAGTCACAGGTTTGTGCTTTTGGAAATGAGTCTCCAAGTTAAATTTTAGGAAAGCTTCAGTCTTTAAGACATTCAGCCATGGATCTAGAGTTGGCCGTCAAGGTCTGATGGAGAAGGCACAAAACTTATGCAGGTTGCTACCACAGCATTAGGGCTGCTGTAAAAGTGGAATGGGTTGCTCTGAGGGTTTTCCTTCCTCATCTCTACAACACTGGTTAATAACAGTCTCAGTCAAACATTCCCAAGCTATTGACCCCAAGAATAGGGGGCAGGGGAGGGAAGTGAGATTTTTCTCACCTCTTATCCAGATAATTCTCATTAATATTTATTAACAAGACAAGATTGTGCTAACATCCTGCTGGAAATAGCCCCTGTCATGACCCACCCAATGACCAGGAGGAATATGAGCCCTGTCAGTCAGTGAGGCCCTGCTCCCCTGGCACTTCTCAGTGTGAATCACCCCAAAAGGGCTCCATGCATGTTGTTAAAGCAAATCCTACGTGTTGGTGATCGCCATCTACCCACAGCCCCTGCGTCTGAGCTAAGGTCACCCAGTCCCAGCGGAGGGTTTAGCTGCCTGGTATTTCATGTCTTAAGCAGCACATACACACTTGTGTGGGCCTTCCGCATAAGTGTGACCCTTGGTGTTTTACTAGCAATATTGATTTTGGCTTTACAATACTCCTGTTATCCCTATTATAAAGATGAGGAAAAAGGCACAGCTAAATGACTTATCAAGGCTGACAAAAAAGCGAGTGTCGGAGCTGAGAATAGAAACCAGATCACCTGAGGTTTCATTTCTGGAAACGTTTCCCCTTTCCTCTTCCTTTGAATCTTTGTTTAGCACTGGGGCAGGTCATTTGAAATCTGGGCAATATTCAGATATGCTTTCTCTCCCAGGAGGAAATAAAGCTTTACAGGCTCACTTTACAGAGGGAGCCAGTTCGCTCAGACTGCCGAGCTTTTGCAGCTCTCACAGGACGCTGCAAAATCCAGCAATCAGACCTGTGCAGCCGGAACACTTTCAGAGGAGATGGCAATGCACAGAAACAGCGTATTATCTAAAAACAGGCTCACACAATATGTTTCTATGGACATCAGAAACTAATCTTTGAAACAGTCCCTGATGAGGGCCGGGTTGGCCTGAGCTGCATTCTGAAAATGTTCCAATTCCTCTTTTGCATCCGGTGTGTGTTTATTGGAGAAAGAGTAAGTTCTCGTTTAAATTCTGCACATGGATTTGCACTGTGACCTTTTTAGGTGTTACCTCATGGCTCTATCTAAAATTGGTAATAAAATGCACTCATGGTAAGGAACTTCTAGGTGATTTTATACAACCATAATTTTACACTCTCAAAAGGCAGAAGATGTAATTCCTTAAGCCACACACGGGAACATGGTGATACTGGGCTAGATTTTTGTTTTCAAAGCCAACACCGTGTGAATAAAGCCAAGTCTAGACAATGATACAAATAATGAGTTAAACAGATATGCATTTTAGCTGATCTTGATGCAGAGTAAGAAACCCATGTGAAGTCTTGCTGAAGTAAGGATGCTACAAAATGCAAATATAAACAGCTCCTGCAGGAGACAGCACTGAATCTTAATGTTTTTATGTTATTTTACCTATAACTGCTACGTAAGTGATTCTGGAGAGTCTCCTAAATTTGCCACACTTTAAAAATTTCCAAGACATCCTATTCATGTATGAAACAAATACCACTGACCAGTGTGATTAACAACTCACAGTGAGAGGCTACCCTGGAAAATCTGATTTTATGCAAACTTCTTCTCTTCTTGTATTCCTTTATTGCATTCCAGAACTGCTCAGATTGTAAGACTAAAGAGCCATTGAGTTAGGTAGCGGTCAAATGCAAAGGAAGTGAGAATATGAAAATGAAATATTTAACATTGGTCAGTTTTCTCATAAAGTTCCACACAGAACACCACCAAGCTCAGTGGCACTCTGCCCAGACACAAGTTCAACTGCACTGATCCAACTGGACAAACAGGGAAAAACTACTTAGATGGAGAGACACTGTGCACATTTTCTATACATTAAACACACTCACATGTCACAATAGTTTGCTACTGTGGTAAATGCATTTACACCAAGCAACCATAGTATATACTCACAATGAACTGGCTTCAGAAATTTTTGGCTGTCTTGGAAGACTCTGATCAACCTTTTAAGTAAGATACCAAGTCATCAGGTTTCTCAGTATGTTACAACCGAAATCTGCAGCAAGTTTCTGTGGAAATGCAGCTTCTCCAGCTACTCTGCTGATGAGCAACTAGATGTCTGACCTGGAGACCAGAGCTGGGGCCACCAGGCACCTTCCTTCCATGGGGGTCCCTCAGTTGGGATTCCCTCCTGGCAGGGTCCTTCAGCTCCACTATCTCTCACACAGAGGTTTCTGAATGGACAGCTGGAGAGCTGCCTTTTTCATCTTTCCTGGTGGAAAATCATTTGGAGGGCGAAACAAAAATTTTCTGTTAGAAGATATAAAATAGATATCTTCACTGAAAAACAATTTACATTTTGTCTCCTAATCATAACACTAACAAGTTAGCTAAGTTGTAATTCACAAATGAACATGAACAAAGTCTAGATCAGGACTATGTCCTACTCTACATTTCCTAATGTTTATTGTTCAGGTTTGGAACTCTAAACATAGACAGCTATATCCATGTCCCAAAATAGAGACTACTCATGTAGGTGTTGTCATTTTACAATTAAAACAAGACACAGCCACCCAATATTTGCAAATGAGTCCATCTAGAGATATTTCTCCCTCTGTAGAAAGTATGACTCCCATATTCTGCCTGTGCTTATTCTGGGGCTTACTTATTCATTCTAACTAAAAGATCTGAACAAACAGATTCAAATTCTTTGCAGAAAAGGGCAAGGTAAAATGGAAAAGCTATTCAGCATCAGACTCTGAAATGCACACAGTATTTCTGCCCACTAAAGAGTGCCAACAAGTATTTAAAGCCTAAAAAGACTTAGCAGAAAGGTGGAGGTGCAGCAAGGTAGCAAGATATGAGCCATCTGGAGCTACCCCTGGGTACTTATAGATTACTCACTTGCCGGGCACCTGCAGGGAA